ATTCAAAATTTAGGCCCTTAGCATTACTAATGAATCCTTGAAGGACGGAACAGCTGTAAGATGTTATTTAATGAATTTTTTAGCTTTACTGTATCCAATATGGTATTTAAAAAGTGCTATCCGATCGTATTTCATTTGCATAACCCTAGACCTCTCTCAGAAAGGTACAGTGAAGTACACGCATGCAAATTCTGACGCATAAACAGATACGCCATCTTTCACTTTGACAGAGTTCACGGCCACAAAACACAGACTCATCACAGTAAACATACACGTATTACACGCAAGGACTAGAAGATTACCTCGATAGATGAGCCCGCGTGCTTATATAAATTTTCAAAAAGACATAATCATTTGTGTATTTGCTTTTTTGGAAAGCATAGCGCATCAATATGAGTCATTCCATAAATATGTCCCGTCATTTGGGAACATATCGCATGAGTTGATGATAAATCGCATCTATTCTCTGCATTCTAGTAAATTGCATATATATATATATATATATATAATGCTTGACATCACAATGTCAATGTATACATGATGTAAAGTTAATTTAATAGCAAGGGCATCCTATGAACGGCATTTCAACCAATGATTCTAATCCATAAAACGTTTACCAACTACATAAAAAAGAACATTGTCCATTTCAAAAAGAAAAAAAAAGACCATTATTAGCTAGAATTGTAATTAAAAGGTAAATTGGGGTTATTTCTATTTGAAAAAGAAACAAAATATTTGCTTTATAGGTAATGATAACGGAGACCAACACCAAAGGTAAAACAACACCATTCTTGAATAAAGATAGAGGTAGGGAGATCTGTTATGTAATAAAAGCGCTCTATACAGAATTTATGTTAGTTTTTCGTACGTTTGCCGCTTCAATTTGAATACTTTGTGTGAAAAATGGAGCTATTTGGATAATATTGGAGTAGTTTCTGGCACGTAACATGTACTCAAACTTAGTCAACAAACGAGCTCTTTTCGTATGAACTTTCACGAAACTAGAAGTTAGATAAAACTTTCGAAAAAGCAATTTACAAACTCAAATTAAAATGTCATCATTGTATTGTTTCATTAGTTTTCCTCACATAAATTGAATCATGTGGGTTGTGGGGATAATGCATCCGACATTTCAATTTAAATTTCCATAAAAATGAAATCTACCGGTCGGGAATATCAAGAGTTGAACAACATGAGACCCATTTATAAGTCATGGCCCCCATTCGTGTACCATCATACATCAAGGCTTGAGAGCGTTATAGAACGAGGGAACAATGAAAAATTGGAATGCAATACATGTCATACAATAGTTCCATTGTTTTCACTAATCACTTGGTATCCGTGTTATCATGTTTCGCTACAAAATAAATTTCCGTCAATAAAATGTCACAAATGTTTATTTAGTTTTAAATTAAAAAGGAATGAAACTAATCGCCTCAGCAAACGATGGTTTCCGTAAGGATAAGAGAACACACGTACCACAATACAACTTCTTCTGCCACCTTATCATTTTAAATCTTGATCGAGTTCACAAAATGATTTGAAATGAAATACAAAATTTTCCTACAAAAAAAGAACTATATAAGATGTAAAAGGAAAATATGACATGAAACTGCACACACACACACACACACAAAACGGCGGAAAAGAAAGGAAAATCATTTTATATACTACAAAACCCTAAATTACAAAAACACAACCAGTCAGGCATGTACCTTATAGAAAGTCATGATTAAAACCAAACAAAGAAAATAGGAGATATCACAAAGCCAGGATTCTATACGTAGATACAGTATATAGTCCTGAATTACGAGATGAATTCTGATTCAGTTTCAACATATCGTTGTTAGAATGTACCAACAGATTCTATTTGAGGTACAATAACTTAAATTATTACTCGCCAGCTGTATCATTATTTTTCTTATTAGGAATTAAGTGTCATTAAGTGCGTTTAAGACCTAGACCGGATATATAAAATATGTATTTATATATTTATCGTTGGACAATAAACCCGACATCCAACTATTCAAGTTCTCAGTCTCGACATGTATGCCGCTACAAAATGCATAGGTCAACCAATCGAGCGATTAAAATACAAAGTAACATCAAACAATATCATACAGTAGAGGTTTAAAACATACAATGTAATACAATAAAGATTACAGCATACAATGTAATACAATAGAGGTTACAACATACAATGTAATGCAGTATAGCTTACAACATACAATGTAATACAATAAAGATTACAGCATACAATGTAATACAATAAAGGTTACAGCATACAATGTAATACAATAGAGGTTACAACATACAATGTAATACAATAAAGGTTACAAACATACAATGTAATACAATAAAGGTTACATCATACAATGTAATACAATAGAGGTTACATCATACAATGTAATACAATAAAGGTTTCAAACATACAATGTAATACAATAAAGGTTACATCATACAATGTAATATAATAGAGGTTACAACATACAATGTAATACAATAGAGGTTACAACATACAATGTAATACAATAGAGGTTACAACATACAATGTAATGCAGTATAGCTTACAACATACAATGTAACACAATAGAGGTTACAACATACAATGTAATACAATAGAGGTTACAACATACAATGTAATGCAGTATAGCTTACAACATACAATGTAATACAATAAAGGTTACAACATACAATGTAATACAATAAAGGTTACAACATACAATGTAATGCAGTATAGCTTACAACATACAATGTAATGCAGTATAGCTTACAACATACAATGTAATACAATAAAGATTACAGCATACAATGTTATACAGTAGAGCTTACAAAATATAATGTAATACAGTAAATGTTACAACATGATTTATCATACCGACAATAAAGTGAATGAAAATCGGCCAGATTGACTAAGATTTAGTGTAAAACATTCCCATCAATCAGCTAAAACATTACAGGGGCTTTTTTTCGTGATAACTTAATTAATTTTGTTTCTTTTCTAGTAAATAGACCATTTCATTCTTTTTAGATATATGGTTTCATGTCTTGATGTATTTTAAATTACAATTCAATGTCAGAGTTCTGTAAATGATCGAATCCATTTTACCTCTTACATTCAAAATAATCAAACAGTTTATTTCTTAATCTCATAAATTCAAGTTCTCGAAATTTTATTTCATTAGGTAATTCGTAAAATGAAAGCTTACGTTACCTACAATAGACATGTTAACAGGACTAAAGGTATCGTTTTGTTAATCAGATCATATTGTAGTGCGATATCCATTAAAAGTATCTTTTCATCCGTGAGTAGAACATTGATACTCAATTTTTTAAAAACAATATTATCACCAGTCAATGATGTATTTGAATCCGCGGTGAAACATCTGATATAATAAGGGTTTATTGGACACAGCGGTCTGTTGGAACGCAAACTAGAGAAAACGAAGTCATATTTCAGCAATTACTTTCAGAGAGTAATGCATGGAAAACAAAATCTAGAATAAAATGCGGGTGTTCAGCTCTATTTTTCTTGATACTAGAGTAGATACTAAGCAAGTTGAAGGTTTAAATAAAGTATTTTATGATTATATAATGTAAAGATAATTAAAACGTTATCATTGGTGTCTAAATGTTTTTATCATTTTTTGTTTTCTAGTACACGAATATACTGTCAACAAGTGAGATATATATCGTCTTCTCGTTACTACGTGAAACAAACTCCCTGAATAAGAAAACCTACTCATGAAACAGATGTTAGACAATATCTAGTTTAACGAGTGAAGCATTAGAAAAATGAACCTGGCCGCACAATGACAGATTAACATATAGTATCAAAAATTGTCATGGAAGATACCTCTAATATTCATGTTATTGCTAGGATGAAAGTTTTAAAATCTCCACATGATTTACGGACATTTTCTACATACATTGTATCACAAAAGAAAAGTGGTAACACTGCAAGCAAACAGAGCATTAAACCCGTTCTATGTAATCTTACAAGGACCCTAACACTGAAACTATAAAGAACGATCTCCATAATCCGCATAATCGTCCAACTGAACAACAACATACAATTAAAAGGATGCCAATAGTACACCCCATTATAATGTTAGACTTGGGTTAGTCTGGACCGGATTTAGAAGAGATATTGAAATGTGAAATTTGATATTATTTGGCTACATACGAAATGGGGAGGAATGGTTGTCAATTGCTTGTTAAACATGCCAAGCTGTTCGCCTTATCACTTAAGTTGTCATTTTCAAATATATTGTGTATGACATTTCAACAAAACGTATTCATTGCCTAAGGCCTTCTAATGAACCTGATTCTATCGTTACATAACAATAACAACACTGGAGGCGGAGGATGGCGCTTCAAATATTTAACATTCCATTAACAAAAGAATGACACACACTCAATAGATTAGCTATAAGCAACACAACTGTCATTCAACAGGCACCAACAGAACAATGCATTGGAGCTAGAATTTATGTTTTAAAGGGGAGAAATTTCTATTGTAGTGGCATACAGCAGGTAAAGTCACCAGCAGATTTTAGTGTCAGCCTGTGGTCCCACCGGTGTTCTCACAAACATAACGGTATCTCGTTACACAGATTCTAGGAAAACCGATTCCGCTGTGATGACAATGTAACTTGTTAATATGCTATTTTGATCCTCCCAATTAAACATCATTCTGTGAGCTGCCACTTAAATACAAGCCTAGAGTGGACTCATTATTTGTGAACGTAACCTAAACTGTTTAAAATAAGTCAACCGATCTGTACTCTACCTCAGTGCAAACACTTGTTTGGAAAACATAGAAAATATCAATAACATGCCCTCAAAACAACTAACAAACATTTTTAAAGACAGCGGAATACATTATCGATACCTATGTAAATATTTCTTCGTGCATAAAATTTCAACAAAACGAGACCAGCATCTCACCGTCAAAGTGAAGAGCCTAATTGATGACACTTACACGTAAACTGGCTTACCTGTGTCGCCCAGGTGTGATAATGATGACGGGTGGCAGATCTAATTCGTCCCCGGTAGTACTACCATACTGGGACATGCTTGTCTTGTGCTGGTCTCGTGTGGATACAGCGACTGGTAAAGTTTTCCCGCCGACTTCCACAGGAGATGAAAGACGCACGGATTTTAAACACATAATCACCACTAATAGTAGCGGTGTTCGATCGCCTAGGTGACGGCGAGAAGCTAACCCCCTCGTGAATCAGCATCATCAGAAAGCATGTTTCGAATTCCATTTACAAATAAATTGTGGCTTTATATTGGTATAAATCACTTATCTGTTCGTCCATCTGATTACGGACGTAATTCTGCCGACGATAGCCGGCTCATGTCTCTCTCACTCTGGTTGGCTGTCTTTGGCTAAGGCTCCGTATATTTTATAATAAAACAGTTCCCTATCGATCTACCAGAGTCCCGATTGATTACTGAGTGTATGTACTTGGCTTGTCATCGCCCGGGTGTACAATCTTCACTACTCGGTGTCTACGGCGAGCAAAATACGTTTTTGTTTAGTAAAACTTTTAACTCTTTTCGTAAAGATTAAAATAGTATACACGAGTATATATATCTTCAAAATAGCTAATCGGACAAATTTGACAAAAACATACTGTATGTCTGTACGATCCATTCCTACCTTGGTGTTTGAAAGAAAGAACTAAGGATTCATAAATAGTACAAAAAGGGGGAGAGAAAGGTGTAACAAACATAACTTTACATGATTGTTTCTGTGAAGGTTACTCAAGAAAATGGAAAACTGAACGAGAAATAGTAGAGAAAAAGGACAGCTCGACATGGAGGATTAATGATACAGGAATGGTTTAGATTTATTAACGCTTTCAGTCTCGAAACCTTCAATTGAGGAGACGAAGCAGATTCCATATGAGGGTTGATACAAGGCATTAATGAACTAGGGGTTGGAAGGAAATTTAATACGTGACATTCGTTGTCACTTTAAATCACTTTCACATATTCTCATTTCTATTAATGTTTATCAAACACTCGTACCGAAAGTGTTTCAGATGAAATACACCGACCTGTTTTTGACAATCTAGAAAAAACTACTTCAACAAATACTTCCCTAAGAACAGTGTTTAGCCAAAGCCAAGTTGACCGCCGAGTTGTCTCACAGAACGAAATTAGACGCCCAGTTTCACAAATACCCAACTAGACGAACAGTTTTACCAAAACTCAACTAGACGCACAGTTTCGCAGATACCTGTCTAGATTCACTCAAAAACAGCTAGACATCCACTTTCATAAATATCGATCAAGGGGCTCGATTACATCAATACGCAGTTTGACGCTCTGTTTCTGCAATGTGTTAGTTGATAAGGTTTGGTTTCAGAGAAATCGAAGTGATAATATGGTACTAACATTGAAGTGTTAAGATACGAATTCTTTATGTTGTCGCTTTTGGTATCAATGGTTAAATGTTGTACTTTGTTTTAAGTGTACAATTGAGTGGGTATTTATTCATCGAATTTTAATCTGATTTCACATTCGAGTTCCCTTTAGACTGAAGATTTTGTCTATTGAAATTTCTGAAAGTCGTATCTGTCATTGGGCTATGAGATGGCATTCCGGATGTGAGGTCATGATAAGCGTCCTTGTTAATACACTCCATACTTAGATGTATTATCACGAACGGAACATATACACAATGTACGTACATCACTGCCGGACTTATAATTCACATGACATATACTTCCACCGTGAATCATCGCTGAAGTTTAGAACAATTATCATGTAAATTGTGAACACCAAAACATTCATACAATCAGTGGTCCGTGGATACATATCACATGCCATGACAACAGTGGGAAATATTTATAGCGTTACTTAATCACTCAATCATACAAACAAAACATATCTACCAGCATGTGTTCAAAACCGACAAACCGACGAGGGTAAAATATCATTAAAATGAACACGTAAAGCACCGTAAACTACAAAAATAAGACCATGTGTTCCGGAAGGATATGTCTTATACCTCAACGAAGACATCCGCCGTGTAAACCTTGTTCAATCCAAGTAACGTTATATTTACATCTGAGAACTAGGTTCATGATAACCATGATAATGGGCCACCACTAGGCATGCTATGGAGCATGGAGAACATTTCAGATCACACAACCAGCAATCACGTGTAAAAAGGCACAGAAACTGTCGAGTTGTCAATGTGCAAGCATACCGATAATATCCTAGTAAAGCATGGGCACCTGAAGATCCAAATTCTGCTTGTCAGGAATCTATTTGAATAGAACTTTATAGTATGTTCTTGATATTGATGTATCATGGATTCAGTCGGAGGTCTTATAGCCAAACAGTAATTGTACAAGAAAAGAAAAAACAGAAGTACAAGTAAGAATTGCCTGAACACAATACGTCACTGTAAGAGACGGCGAACCTTTTATAAGTGTCAATGTCAAAACAGGAACTGCTGGAGAATGTTACATCACTTTGACTTCAAAACCAAAGGACTAATTTCTACTGAAATGCACTGCTCACTTGTATCTTTAACACTCTGAACTACACATGTAGCAGGGGAGCGATAAAAGCCGAAACCTAAGGTAAGATTGACTATAACAATGCTGTGTTACAGACAATACAGAACACCTGCTCTGGTGCAGATGTAAGGTCATGGTTGTAAACGACTAAACACACCTACGCATGTACTTACGATCAAATGAAATTCACCCCAATAACATGAGCTCGTGCCCAACATTAAGGAAAATACCAAAAGTTACCAACATGTGAACATAATTGAAATCCAAATTCCATAAAACTAGGACAAAATATTGACAAATGAAAGATTTAAATGGCGATTCCTGCGAAAGAACAAGGAGATAAAGACCAGGTGTTACGGAAGATTAAACGCCTTATGCTTCATCGACGAAACCCTTCAAGTAAACATTGGTCAATACAAGTAAGTATTGTCTTGTTCTTAAATGAGAACAAGGTATGCAGCAATGGAACCAACAGGGAAATCCACGAGCATTCGTATTTATACTATATTTGCACTCTGATGTAAACGTGCTGTCTCCAAATAAAAAAAAATCTGTTTGATATGCGGTACATATACGACAAACAGTTTTTATTATGATATATATTGAACCTTTCGCTTTCCATGAGAAGCAACAGAACAGTCGAGCTGGACGTTATCATATCTCCGAACTAGTTACAGACAAACAGTACGAATGAAACCATGACTTTCTCCAATCGTAGATGCTGTCAACTTAAATCTCGTCGTGTGTATATGACCATCGTGTTTATATTGTATTATATCTAGGAAGTGTATTCAGATATAACCTTTAGGAAGTGTGATATACTAATGGACACTCCTATCATACTCCTAACTGGCGGTATAATACAGACCACAGGTTTTCAGTTCTGATAATTTGGTTCTGGTTTTAATAACATTGCTCCAACACGTAGTGTAGCGTGGTAATTTAGGAGAAAGGTTTATAACACAGTCCAAAAGTTCACATATAGATATCTTTCGTTAAGAAACTTGCCCACATTAGATACAACCTCAGAAACCCAGTTTATCTGTAATTAAATCATCGACACTGACATGCACCTGTATATTTACTGAATCACGAGACTAGTATTTACCTAGTCACTGTAAGCCATTCAGCGTTATGACGTGACGAAGTGATAACACATTCTCGGCTCGATTCCAAACGCAATTGTTCAGTTATCTAGATTTGTTTATATATCATAAGGGTGGCCATATTGTGATTTTGTATGCATGTCAGATTTTCACTTATAAAGTACGGGCTATGTTTACGCTTCTTTAAATTATTTGGCTTTATCACAGACTGAATCATAGGCTTTGTTAACAAAAGTCACGCGCCCACCGGTTTTATGAATACACTGGTTCTCTCATCATGAAACTGTCTTTTAAACACATAACTCGAGACGAATTGATATTGTATGAACCTGACCGGAACAAGATCGAAACTGTTTACATACTGATGTCAGTATATATACTCGAGTATCACAACACCGTCGGGTTATACAAACGATATCGACCTTTATATCACCTCTCATCTAATGGGGTGGGCGTGGTACAGGTGGGAGAGTTACAGAGGAAAATAATGATCATGGAACTTCAATGAAGATATAATCTGTATTATATATATAACAAATATGTCGATTAATTACCTCCAAGGAAGGGGTGCGGGTATGTAATTACCTCCGAGGAAGGGGGTGGGTAAAAATTACCTCTGGGGGAGGGGTGGGGGTAAGAAATTACCTCTGGATAGGGTGTGTGGGAAAGTAATTACCTATGAGGGAGGGATGCCTTGGTATGTAATTACACGTGTTACCTGACCAACTTTTCATTTATTGGTGCCATTTACATATGAAAAAACCGACGGGTAAAATTTCAAGACGTACAGCCTACCATAATTTATACCTGTTGATACACAGTTATGTTATGTGTATAATCAGATGAAAATACTGTCCGTGTTTATCCTGTTTGTATACCTACACCGTTTCTCTGGACGAGTTTTGACACATAATCTAGGTTCTATTATATAGCTACATACAGTGTTACGGCAGGTCTTACCTGACCAGGTATAAATATACCAGCCGACACACGTGTCTTTTTAACACACTTATACACATATATTGTTGATAGCATACCTGTCCTCACCTGTATACAGTATTAGCGAATAAACTTAAGGTAAGATTTGTATACTTACATCTCACTGTCACTGTTACACGAATGGTTCTGCATCCTTCCCTGTGTTAGGTAATAATCCAATATAACACTGATGTAATACAGTCCCTCGATATTATTGACATTTAGGGTTCGATGAGACCGGACGTACTCCCTCAGCTGACCTTCTCTAACTTTATACGTCAACTCCACTCGCACTGTAATATTAGCGGTCTGAGTAGTTTCTACTATTTACATCCGGGTCAGCCAAACAATATGACGCACGGTCTTGAGGAAGCTTCCATGCCTCCGGTAAAAAGATTATCACCTTTACTCTCTAGATAGGAAAGTGCTGGAGGTGACTACTCTCTAACACTGCACATGTCCTTTGCACGTCTTGTGAAATATATTTTTGTTCATTTGAGAAGACCATCACTGATTACAAATCGATTACACTTGGAATAGAGGCA